GAATTTTTTAAGCAGTTGATGGGAGTAGAACTCCCAACCATTTACATTCTAGCTGTTAGGCTTAGTGGTCAACTATTAGACCCAATGGGTTGATACGATGGGTTTAGCCTCTTTTATTTGAAGTATTCTTATTTTTAGAAATTGGGTCAGCCCATATCCATTTTAGGACCCTTTTTTGGAAAAACCCATTAAAAATAAAGGAGTATTGAGGACTAGCCCGTTTTCCATGTGATTTCCAGGGACCGGCGGGTCTGGAAATTCTCCCGGTCTAAAAATTCCAGGGGAATTTCCAGATTCCCGCCAAAATTAAAAATCCAAAGAAATTGCAAAAAAAAAAAATCGAGAAAATCAAATACCGAAACCAGGACCTCATGGAGCCTAAATGCATTCAAAATGCACCAACATAAACTAAAACTGAGCATGTATATTCAAGATTAAAGTGGACAGTATATTCAACCAAAAATCCATCACCAAATACTTAAAATGAACAAACAGGCACGTAAGAGGCGCTTTGTAGGTCGTCATGCTTCCGGGTACACCGTTTTGGAGTAGCCCCGGAGGCAAAAACCCGAAGGCGCCCCTTACGTGTTCGGATACGGAAGTTACCTAGCTAAGGGAGACCGAAATGTCACCGGAATCCGGTTGGGATCCGCTGCTCTTTCTCTCCCCTCTACTACTTCCAAAACCCAGAAGAAGTTCAAAAATGGACCAAAAAGAACCCCTGAAAATCACCAGAAGAACCCCCTCTTTCTTTTTTTTTAGGCCTTCCGCCGCCCTCCTATGATCCTCCCTCTCGGGTCCCTCTATTTATAGAAAAAGAAGGCGGACCCTAGAATTTCTACCCTCTACTCATCTAAACCGTTCAAACCTTTTTCTTTAATCCCACCATTCGATGCAATGTTCTGAAAATCAAACCGGAGGTCAAACCATTTTGCCTTCCGGTTCATGGTTTGAGTGGTTTGACCGGGTAATCGGTCAAAAATTCGGTCTGACCAATTAGCTATTAATATAACAAATTTATAATAAAATATAGATTGCAAAATATGAGAATTTTATAATAAAGTTTTGTTTGAATTTCATTATATTATTAACTTTTTCATGTTTACAAAGAAATTAATATAAAAAAAATAGTAAAAAGTTATTTAGTAAGTTTCATATGTGAAAAATTGAGAGATATTTTTTTCTTTGAAAAATATGAGAATAAAAATTTATTAATAAAGAATTGAGT